TTTTTTTTTTTTTTTACAGGAAGTAGTTCAGACAAGCCTAAACAGCGAGGGGAAGCAACCAAAACAGAGCGCTATGGGACCACCGTACCGCTACTGCTGAAGGGCAAGGAGCGCAGACCCCTCTGCCAGCTCCCAGCCGGGGTAAATACTCTCAAGGCTATGTAGCAGTACTAGCTTAATGCTAATAAGCTGGCTCCCAAGTGTGCTTCCAAGAGCTCAGCCAAGTACAGATGTGTGGCTTTTTGTTTGACATAACCACAGTATATGATTCCCTCCCTTGTTGCCTGTTCGCCTGCTTGCTTTTTTCTTCAGCAGAAAGTCCCTTCCTCAGCTCTGTTTATCCTGTTGTGGTTTCTCTCCTCGCCTACTCCCTCTCCTCTGTTTTTTAAATACGTCCTCTTTTGTTTGTAGAATACACGGTTGCCCCATAGGCGATACATGCTGTGAAATTATTCCTGAAGCACACCAGCCTTTCAACAGTTTTTACAAGTCAGCAGTTCACGAACCTGACACTGAGAAATATCTGAGAGCATGAAGTAGCCTTACAACACGTTATAGATGTGTTCTTTCCATTCGTACATATGTACAGTCAAATCAGCCCTCTCTGGACTCTCTGGATTTGTGTTCTCAGGCTACCTACTACTGCTGGAAAAAAGAAAATGTTTGAAATTCGGCATCCCCCACCACAACTTAAGGAAACTTTTCCAGAGGAGGGAAATGCGTAGGTGTTGAGAACTCCCTGAGCAATCAAACATTTTTTCCTGGTGCAGGGAAGTCACCATTTGAGAGTAGCCTTATATGCTCCTCTCTCAAATTCAGTCAGTAGGGGAAGGGCAGTGATGTTAATTAGCTGAATTGGTTATCACTAACATGTCACATAGGCATGAGGGGAAAAAAGCAACTTTTAGCTTCATGGAGTTAATTAAGCATCCCGTTTTTAACTACATCAAATATGTTTAACCACCAGCTACTGCTGACATAAGGCATCCATAAGGCACTGAAGAGATACAGTGCTTTTACAGTGGGCTATCTACAAACTGACCCTTCCCAAATTAAACTGACCGCTAGGGCAGCTGCTTGATTGTCTTATTGCACTAAGACTTAAACCTTCCCGGGTAACAGATTTATATAGCTGCTCCTTGTGCCAATAGAGGGTTATCAAGCAGTCGTAAAGTATTGCAGAGTCATTACTTACAGTGACATCCACTCTCCACACACACATAACTCTTACACACAAACATAGACACCCTGACTCTCAGACAGAGCTGCAGACCGGGTGGCAAAGTATTGGCCTCAAGGCACTGGTCAGCAGATCTAAGAAATGTCACAGTACGTCTGAAATATCAACTGATGAAACATGGATTTATTTCTATTCCTCACTCATTGAGATGTCTTTCTTCGTGTTTTTTCTGTTGTATTTCCTCATGCATGAATACACTTTGCTTCTGTCCTGCTGCAAGGGCACTCTTATAATACAAGTTTTCTTAAAGGCGTCAAGTCATCTTAGAGCTGTTTGCTGGGAAATATTTTGAGATTTCATTTAGGATTAAATCTCAAAAAGGCATTTGACATTTTGAGCAAAATATCCTGCATCACCTTCATTTCCTGGGTTCTGGCAGCCATGAATTAGTGGCACGAAATACTCATACGCACACAAGTCATCACAGTCTGCCAAAGCATTAGCAGTAACTTAGTCTAGGTAGTAGAAGAGCATTTTGAAGCCATTGAGGGAATTGCAGACTCTGTCATTAATAATTAAAACTAATATCTATAAAGGTAATCACTGAATGTGAATAAATTGAATCACTATTTCAGAAAAGAAAAGGATTATATCATTAAAGAGACAGAGTACAGATAGAAAACTTGAGTAGGCTGTGTTGTGACGTGCACAGACTTGGGAAGTGTAGGATGTGGCAGCTTTCTTCCTGTTCCTCTAACACTATTGTGCCTTACCATATCCTGCCTGGTACACAGCCTGTGTAAGGAAGGTGAGGCTTCACACAAATGCTAATTCACAGGCAGGATGGGTGAGATCCGGGCACCACCTCGACACTCAACTTTTTGTGTTGCAGAGACATCCTGCGTCACTCCAGCTGCTGGTACAAGCGGAAGGTGAACAGCTGATCCTGTTGCTGGAGAAAAATGAGTGAGTTTTCCACTGATTCATTTTATTTCTCTTTCCACACTCACCAGGACAGAGAGAACTTCATATTTATTATTATAATCACACACAGAGCCAATAGATAAACCCACACTGCCAGCTATGGCTGGCTGGATTTATATATGCAAGAGGGGGAGAAGTTGTATGGGTCTGGGCTATAATATAGTGTATTCAAGGAGGGAGAAAATAATATGTCCCCTAGTGATTGGACTCTTTTATGGTTCAGTCTCTCTGAAGGGCCTAAAGATGAAAGCTGATAAAGAATAATGCAGAAGAGAGCTCCGAGGACATGCTTGTCCTCCCCTCCTTTCCCTCTCCTCTCATCACTCCACTCCTTTCTTGACTGTGGAAAACAACACAGTGAACTGTGAAACGAGGGGTGGGGATCACTTGGAGTTCATAAATATGTAGATAGACACACAAAGTGTTTCCTATAAAGAGAAAAGATTGCTGTAAAGCCAGAAGAAAAAGTGCATGAAGGTTACATGTCCGGGGAAATTTACAGTCTAACAATAATGATGACATCGCTGTCTCAGTTCTTCTTTCTGCCAATGTTTCTTATTCAGGGAGTGGAGACATAATATTTTAGCCTGCTTCTTTGGGATACAGATATTGACACTAGAATGATGGGTTTAGTCCACAACTGGTCAGACCTCCATCTCTGGTAACTCTAGAACAAACACAAATGGGACTGCTGAGATTTTCTTGCTGCTTCCCCTTTTCATACCGCAGAACCTTTAGTCGGAGTTTCAAAATGAAAAACGACTGCTGTTGTCAAAGTTCAGTAATATTGACTTACACAAGGTTTGGGCGGTATCTACATTTTCATATCTTCATGCCTTACTGACATTTCACCGGGGTATATGGTATATGATGGTATTTGGTTAGAAAAAACAACAACAAAAAAACTACCTTGAAAGCTGAAGTCATTGTAGCAGCTTTTTTTAACATCTTTTTAGCAGACCAGAATCATCTCACATGACACTACTCAGCCAATCAAATATGTGCATTGCAACTTGACTCAGTGTGTGAGATAATCATAGCCTGTGTGACACAAAGGAGACGATATAAGAGACAGTGGGAGAAATAAGCAAGTCTGAAAAAGTAATTTCACATGGCGCACTCTAAAATGAGAAAAGTAGACGCCGAAAAGAACACAGGCAGACCGTGGCGATTATTAAAACGTCAATGTGAAACGCAACAAACGCTAAGAGACAAAGCACAGAGCTCTTTTGACCAAAGATACCCGCTCAAAACCAACCATCGATCCACCAGAAAGAGGAGCGTCTTTTTTGACCGTATTGAAAATCATGTCGTCAGGATTTCTAAATATCCTAGTATATCGTAATACCTTGATACCGTCCAGGCTTAATTGACACATTTATTATCTCTTATACATGTGACATATAACTGTAAACCGCTCTGAAATATTGCAAATCTAAAACCACTATTAAACCCAAAACCATAACCACCCCATCCCTGTTCAGAAATAGCACGTTCTTAGGAAACACACTGTCCCGGCTGACTCTTCCATTCACCGTTCTCCATGTGACCTCTAGTGACCTCAGCATCAGCTGTGAGTCATCCGTCACCAGGCCCAGGAGCATGCTGCCATTCCCATCCGGCTTGTTCCCTGTCAGGCCAGATGTGTCCTCTGATATCGCTTCACCAGTTCAGCCAAATCAGAACAGGTGGTCTCTGACCTCTATGTGGGTCTGTTTTGCCCCGGCTGTAACCGTTCAGTCTGGGGCAGAATGACAGATGAGGGCGCATGAAAGGGAACTGCTAAGGATGTATGGATGCTTTGATATTTTTTGGGCTAATTTACGGTAATATTTTGTATCTGGAAACAACAGTCCCACTCCAATACACAATATATATTTCCCTAAATGTAACATATTGCACACTTCGAGTACATTAAAGTTAGTTGAACCAATCCAACGTCGCTGAGATATGCTTGATAGTTGAATTGCTCAGCATTAACGAAAGTGGTTCCTTTTAGGGTTTGAATATCAGTTTATTTTCATCTCCAGCAAGAACAAAATATGAAAGTTAAAAGGCAGTTTTCATAATAACAGCACTTTGGAGGTAAGGTTAGCAAATCTCTTTTTTTCCTACCCAAAGCTGCCCTCCTCGCTTTACTTGCTGACGCATGCTGTCACAGTGGATATCTTCATGTTACTCTTAGCAGCGTCTTACTTTTTAATGCCACTCCACAGTTTTAATGCCGCAAGGCTGTGTGGAATAGGTTTGCATTTTAATAGAACTCAATAGGAAGCACAGCGGTCACGGTTTTACTGATGATCCATAAAGAATTGCCTGGATTGGATACCGAACTTGAGCATCAGTATGGACAACAAAATCTCATCGTATATAAAGAAATACGTTAAACAGCACTGCCGCTCAAAAAATGCGCACGTGCCAAGTAGTATGAAGTACATCTGCTGCTTGAATGGCACACAGGTCCCAAAACTTCCTTGCATTTTTTTTTCCGAAGGCTTTAATGCTTTAATATTTTCAGTTCTAGTCCAAATCATTAAATTATATCCAACACTGCAGTTTTGATTTAATCTAATGGTCCAAAAAACATCTCAGTCTGTGTAAGCATGGTATCTATTATAGAAGAGAATATTTCTTGCAAGAAGCAGGTGAGGAACATGGAAGCACTACAGTGTGGGAGTTATTTAACTTTAATGCTACTTAAGGAGAAATGTGGTGAAACATTAAGAGTTTTAGAGATGAAAGATTGCAGAATCAAGAGAAAAAGAACAACAATTATGTGTTGTGGATGTGAATAAATATGAATGCAGGGAGAGCTTAGGAAGTTTTGCTTCTTTGTGCTGAGTTATTGTGGGTTTCCTCTGAAGGCTCATCCGTTTTTTGCTTGAATCTGCTGAGCCCATGCAGTTTGCTCATTTGGCACCGCTGCTGAGCACACCTGTTCCAAGGCCAGTGTGAAATGATCTCAGTCCTCACCAATATAAACACGCTACCAGATCCAATTAATAAACTGCTGTTTGTTAGCCGCTGGGCCCTGTCCCAGGAAAACTTGGCTACAGCAAGACAAGTACAGATCTACTAAGGAGAGAAATCAGCGGGGTGCACTGTGTGTGTGTGTGTGTGTGAGGAAAGTTTCTATAGGTGGCATACGGCTAAATTAAGTTCCATTGTGTGTGTGTTTAAGAGAGTCTCCTTATTTTTATCCACCTTGTACATTTTGCGTTCACTGCACGAAAGCTTGGACTGGATTTTATCTCCCCGGGTGATAGAGGCCACTTCGTTTGTGTCCTTGCCAGCCCCTTGGTCTGTGTAAGATAGGCAGTCTCTGCATTTCATAGTCTCTTAAATTTTGTGTTTTACAAGGTACCACCAAAATTGTATCACAGTAGTTAAAAGAAGAGCCTTGGAAACCTCAAGAGTGTTCCTGTTTGTGAATGTCTGTGCTGAAAAAGTCAGTTCAGAGTAAAAGTTCCTCTCTGTTAGTTTTGATTTTGGATTTTGTCAGCTCTGTAGCCGAGCAGCACATTGGGACATGACTTAGACCGGGTCTCTGCTTGATTTCAATTGTAACAGTCTTGTATGCCATTTCATATAAACTTCTTTGTCCTACATGCCAGTTTAGTTAAAATAAGTAGCTTAACATGGTTGANNTTTCCCATTACTCTGTCACATTTCTTATTTCGTAAGAGCAATGGGAATGGCCGTGTCATATACAATATTTAAGACTTGACTTGTGGTACAGTACAAAAAGAGCTGGACAGACATTCAGACTTGTGCCAGCAGCGGCTGCTTTGATGTATAGCATTGATCAATGGCACAGTTGGCCAGCTTCAAATGATTAATGGTGGTCGTATGGGACATTCCACATTAGTCTTGATTAAAGACTTCAATAGCACTGTCTGGGGGACCAAGGTGCTTGTGTGTGTGTGCCGCCCCTCGCTCGCTCGCTCGCTCGCGCCGTGTGTGTGTGAGAAAGAGAGAGAGGGGGGAAAAGAAGTGTCAAAGATGTACAGTTTGGCCCACTTACTTAAGTTTTCTGCATTTAGTATTCTAATTTCTGGTTTCTTCTAAGGCCCATTATTGTTTGATTTATCTTATTTAAAAACTTTTTACTTTTAATGAACAATGGCCACAAGTGACAATTATGGGATAGAGGTAAGTACAAAAACTTCCTTTAGTTTTAAGAAGTAGAGAAGAGTTATAAAGTCCAAAAACTCAGTAGAGTCAGTTAACCAGCAATATAATTAGCTAGAATTAACCAGCGTAAGCTATTGGTCTCAATAAGTAAGGCTGTTGCATCAATAATCTGTGTATTGTAGTGTATTGAGTTTAGCAACTGTGTGTTTTGTTGCTGGTAAGTTTCTTTTTATTTTTAAGAGAAAGAATGTGTTATTTCTTCTTTCAAAATAATGATGTCTCACCCAATAAACCAAATAGTAGAAGTCTCAAACTAACAGAATTTTGATCAAAATCAGAAAGAACAAGATTACGAATCAATTTAAAGCCAGCTTCCGCTAGTTGACACTTTTCAATACTGGATACATATAGATACATATAGATTTGTACCAAAAACAGTAATATTAAAATGCAAAGAGAGAACAGTAATACAAACACAGAAACACTTCATGATATGCTTCTTTACATTCTATCCAAATTGGATGTGATTTTAGTCATTTAGTGTCAGTGTAATTTTTAAAATAATATAGACAGCAAATGCTGCTCTTTGTCTCCACCTGTGGGTTAAACTTTCCCAGCTTTTATTTCGAAAGTAGAAGGCAAGATCTAACAGAATGACCCTTCCGCTTTCAGATCAAATTGAACAGGTGACACCCTCAGTTTGAGCTCAAGGGATTCAGTTTTGATCATTACCAGCGTGAGAATCCTTATTTCTTGCTCAAATATAGTTACATGATTCCGCTTGCTAAAAAATCATCTGTTATGCTCATGCTTCAGTCCTCTCTCCCACAGAAATCGGATTCTACTCC